CAAGGTACTCTTGCTGTTTTGACTAAGTCCTTCTTGATCCCTCTCTCTACAAACTCGGACCCGAGGATAGGGGCTGGTCTTGTACCAGGCACCCAGGGACCCTTGGAGGTGACCCCGAGGAGAGGTTTTAAGTTTGGTTAAGTCCTAATAGCTTGAGTTTATTAGGCCCTTACACCAACAGACAGGAGAGGAGCAATGAATTTGGTGGAGCTAGCAAAGGAGGCATCAGCAGGCAAACAACTGACACGGGAGCAGGCAGTAGCGAACCCGACCACAGAGCAGTCGGCACCTGGGCAGTCGGCAGGGGAGCCGATGACAGGGGAGAAGTCGACTGGTCGCAGATCGTAGTGCAGCAGGATGCTGAGAACAGCGATGCCGGGGAGGACGAAGGGGAGCAGTCGGATGCCGAGGAGTCCACCGACAGTGATTAGGTGGAGGTACAGCCTGGACCACGGCGTACAGGTCGAATTCGGAAACCGCCCGACTTCTTCGTAGCGGCCACCTTCAGCACGGCGTATGACAACGACGACGACGACCTGGCGTGCGATGATGCCGAGGAGGATGAAGACCTCAACGATGCGAACCCAACCCCGAACACCGTTGGGACATCGCCACGATGACGGTGAAGGAGGCGTTGGCGAGCTAGAAGGGCAAGGCAGTGAAGGTCGCCATGGAAGAGGAGATTCGCAGCCTTATCAGCATGAGGACTTGGGAGCTGGTCAAACGCCCACCTGGGGTCAACATCATGAAGAACCGATGGGTGCTGACGACGAGGTACTAGATCAACGACACCGTCGAGCGTGAGAAGGCAAGGCTGGTCGTGAAGGGCTTCACGCAGGTGTATGGCGCCGACTACGACGAGACGTACGCGCCGGTGAGCAGCTACGTCACGCTGAGGATCTTCCTCAGCATCGTTGCCGTCCTCGACCTCAACCTGATGCAGCTTGACATGAAGAACGCTTACCTGCAGAGCAAGCTCGACAGGGTGCTGTACATGTACCAGCCGGACTACTTCAACAACGGGACTGGCCGGGTGTGAAAGCTACTGAAGAGCCTTTACATGCTGAAGCAGTTGCCGCTGTTGTGGTACAAGGCGCTCAACGACGTGCTGGTCAGCGCCGGGTGGAAGAAGAGCCAGGTCGACGAGGCTCTGTACTTCAAGGTCGGCGAGGATGGCGTGGCCTGCTGTGTGCTTGTCTACGTTGATGACCTGCTCGGCGCAAGTAGCAGCAGCACCGCGATGCTGAAGGAGCTGAAGGAGCTGCTCAAGGCTGCCTTTTAGCTGCGGGAGATCTCACCGGTGGAGAAGTACCTCGTACTGGAGATTTTGCATGATAGGCCAGCGAGGAAGCTGTGGTTGCACCAGCAGTTCTATGCCGACAAGCTGCGAAGGCGCTTCCTTGACGACGAGCAGACCGGGCGCATTCTGAAGACGCTGGTCTCTGTTGACGCCTACGCCGAGCTGACGTTCACCAACAAGGAGGCACAGGAGCGCCAGGAGGGGTACCGGTAGAAGGTCAGCTCGCTGCAGTTCGTTGCGACGACGATGAGGCCGGACATTGCCTTCGACTGCAGCAAGCTGGGGAGCGACCTCACGGTGAAGAGCGAACAGCATTGGCGCGAGGTGGACCACTGCCTTGCCTACCTTTCCAACACCCGAGACACCTCCTTGGAGTTCGGCTGTGGTCCAGAGACGCTGGAGCTGGTCGGCTACGTGGACGCCGACGACGCCAGCGACAAGCAGAACCGGACGAGCACGGAGGGGCCGCTGTGCGTTCGTCTACGGAGGGGCCATAGACTCCTGGTCGAGCCAGCTCATCAAGTGCACAACGCTGTCGTTGACCGAGTCGGAGTAAGTCGCGGCCACAGACGCTGGGAAGAAGGGGCGCCGTCTTCGTTTCCTCTTGACAGAATTCCAGTTGCTGGACGCCGAGAGGCCGACTTTCCTTCGAGTGGACAACAAGTCAGCCATCCACTCGCCGAGGGCATGAGGTTGACGGGCAACCTCAAGCACATGGAGCGACGACAGGCCTGGCTGCAGCACATGGTGAGGCGCGGGAAATTCATGCGAAAGTATATCCCGACCACCGAGCAGCCGGCCGACTTCCTGACGAAGGCGCTGCACAACTCGGCTTTCAACCGGTGCTCCTTCGCAATCGGCCAAGTGCAACTGGCCGACGTGGGCAACGGTGAGGATGACGTGCAGCAGTAGGTGCCATGCCCTCTTGCATGGCTGGTGCGGTGACCGGCGTGCTGTGTGTGGGCTGGGGGCCAAGCGTGAACGCGTCAGGGGAGTGTCAACGGCAGTTGGGTTTGGCCCCGTCCTTGCTTGGGCGGAGCCGATGACTTGGTCGGGTGTGTGGGGAAACACCCGACCTGCAGAAGTGGGCGAGCTGGTCGACGGGGCTGGTCGACCTGCACGGGGGCCACTGCAAGGGCGCCGACTTCGGAGGGCGCCGAGTTAGTTGTGGTCGACATGGCTAGGCCGACCTGGCGAGACGCCGACTTCAAGGTGCCGACTGTGGGTGGCTGACGACTTAGCGAAGTCAGTGGCCCACTCCTAAAGTGGTCAACGGGGGGACGACGACCAAGAAGGACGCTGACTTGCAGGCACTGACCTGGTTGCCCGATCGACAGTGTTTCCCGGGCGACGGAGCTTCTGCGGAGGTGTGCGACGGTTGCCGGGGTGGTTTCTGCAAGATCGACCTCGGGGTGGTATACCGAGGTTGATGTGGCTGGTGGGCGTCAGTTGCTGGCGTGGACTTTGTCAGGCGGCTGAGCTGTGCTCGTGACGAGACGTGGAGCACCAACCAGCTGCGTGCACCTGCGAAGCAGGTGCACCGTTGTTCTGGGGGGCAACGCTGTGCAGCCGACTTGATGCAGTATTGGCACACCATAGAATTGCAACGTTGGAGCGGTACGAGCTTTACTGAGTTGGATCGCGGACGACCGTGCTGCACTGGAGGTCAACCAGCAGCCTAGCTATCTCTGGTATAGTCTATGTTGCCAATGTTTTTGCTACCATTGTTGTCAACTTTTCCTAGTGAAACTCTTGCCAATTTTCCCCGTGAATAAGAAAGTAATGAGCACACAAGGAAAGTACTACGGAGCGAGTCCCCATGCCTAGCCCTAGTCTAGCTCCCGTTGATAGAGTTATCTCCGCAGCACCATCACCTCATCCTCAATGCCTTGGCACGAGGCAATGCGCTGGTATCCGCTGGGCCCGCCTTGCCAGTAACAGGATGGCACGCCTCTTTGATGTTGCTCTCTCGATCCTCCACTCGGCACCCGCTTTCCACCGAGGGTTTCTGCATTCAGAGCGCTGCCTTGCGGGCCAGTCGCTTCGTATATGGGCCCATTCTGCCCTTCTGCGTCTCTTGACTTATTCGATTGCTCTTTGTCCCGCCGCTCCTCTTTCTCCCTATCCATCTCCGTTGATATTTCTGGCTCGGTACCAACTCTCTTTCTAAGCGCAGTCGCATATTATTGCTAATTATTGGAAAAGAAAGTGTAGTAGGTAGCAAAAGCACACAAGCAATGGCAGTCCCCATGGCAAGGAACATACCTTTATGCCTTCCCCCACCACACATTAGCTAGGCAACAACACTCATAGAATATTGTCAACCTAGCTTTCTATCCCGATTTCTACTCTGCCACTTCCCAGTTGGTGGCAATGACTTCTAGCTATTTCAAACTTGTTATTTGCAAGAGAAATGAAAGCTAACACATGCACACCACAAATTTATTCCATTTGCCATCTATTTGCTCACCCATCTTCAGGCTACCCAATTACCACCCTGCCACCTCGCCTGCCTTCGTCAGTCCCCATTCGCTTCAGCCAACCTCCTTCCCACTACCTAGTCACCCGGGCTTCTTCCGTTGTTTCGCTTGTATGCCTTACTCTGATCTCCGGTTATATACAAATGTACAGGTTCCTATTCTTTGCCACACTCCACCTCCCTTAGTCCGAAATACTTAAGTGATAACTTTAGTAATCTGACTGAGGAGTTTCTCAAGCCTACGAGGTCAGCTATAGTGAAAGGTCGTTGATTTGTAGTAATAGACCGTGGCAATACAAATTTGGACAGTGAATTTATTGGCGTGCTGGAAGTGTTATCGTCGACAATCACTACCTCCCATCCCACACCCACTATTGACCATGGTCATCTCCAACCAGTTTAACATCATCAACTCATCCATCCCAACCTGCCCCATCTCCAACTTTCCACATCCCCACTCTCCCTCCTCCTCACATTGTCCCTGCACCGAAGCCAATACCACCTGGGCTCCCATGAAGTGATCAACACACATCCTCCTTCCCCACCACACAAACCTGCAGCCACGCCGTACCATCATCCGTCCTATCTCCGAAGTTGTCAATCCACCAGCTCCCACCTCTCCTTCATCACCTCTTCCTCATCACCTCCTAATCATCTTCACCGCTCCAAATCATCCAAGGTTACACCAATGTGTTCCCCACCTATATACCAGCTGAAAATCCACCCAAGCGTGCGATCAACCATAGCATCCGCCTCATCCAGGATTATACACTGCACGTGCGCCAAACCCATTGCATGAGTACGGTTGATGTTATGGAGCTACGCTGACGACTCGATGACTTTTTCGAGAAGGGTTTCATCTGCCCCAACACTTCACCATATGCTGCCCTCGTGCCTCTCACCAGCAAGAAGGAAGGGAACCTGTGTCTTTCATCAACTACCACACCCTCAATGTAGTCTTTATCAGGAACAAGTACCCACTGCCCCATATTGAGGAGTTCTTTGACATGCTTGGGGAAGGTAGGGTTTCCAGCAAGCTCGACCTACATTATGGCTACCATCTGATCCGACTCACTAGACACTCTGTCAGAGGTCCACTGGTGATCCCCGATTGATCCTAGGGAAGGGTTACAGGCATGGCGGCCTGGGGGGTTATGGGCGCACTCACCCGCTACACAAAAAAGCCCTTTTATCCCAGTGGTTAGTGGCTGGGATTCTGACATGGTATCAGAGCGAAGGTCTCGGGTTCGATTCCCGGTGTGTGCACCTCGGGCATCCCAGTGCGGGGGGGTGTCAGAGGTCCACTGGTGATCCCCGATTGATCCTAGGGAAGGGTTACAGGCATGGCGGCCTGGGGGGTTATGGGCGCACTCACCCGCTACACAAACAAGCCCTTTTATCCCAGTGGTTAGTGACTGGGATTCTGACACACTCATCATCTCCTTGACTGCTTTGTCATCATCTTCCTTGATGAAACCCGTTGGGTGTTTATATATATATTTGTATATGTTTTGCACGTCACCCAGCCGCCTGCGTCACATTTTGCATGTTGTGTGTGTGTGCACATTTTCCATTCTCATTTTACGTATGTTCTGTACGCTTTTTTCCTTGCATTTTCTGCATTTCGTTTTCGTTCGTAGTTGCACTTTGTGTTAGTGCATTTTCATTTGCGTTTTCACTGTTCTCATGAAGCACTCAAGCGAGCCTCTCATGAAGCGCTCAAATGAGCCTCTCATGAAGCGCTCAAATGAGCCTCCAATGTTGTGCTCAAATGAAGACCCTATGGAGCTCAAACGAAGCTTGCATGGGACTTAAAGCTCTAGGCCCAAATTGTACAGCTTTGCTAGAGTTGCCAGTTGGGTGGTAAGGAAGCTCGGTTGGAAAGTCGAGGTGTTTGGTGGTTTGAGGGCTTTGCTTTCGCCCAACTTCACGCCACTCTATTTTTTTGGGTTGCGAAGCAACCCTTTACGATCGATTTTGACAAATTTTATTTTCATGTAAAAAAACATGAAAACAAAATTCGTACGGTAAGCTACAGTTCCACCCTTCCCATTGTGCATATATTAGACTCATTTTTTCTTTCTTGTAGTAGTTTTGTGCATAGTTGCTATACTCCTTGCATAGTTTTTTCCTTTTTGATGGGACAATTGCAATAAATGTTAGTAAATAAATACACACCACGCATGCTTAAATGAATGCTATGAGACAGAATATATAGATGCATAATACTTATACATGGATGAAAATGCTTTTGTATGCATGCGAAATGCTAAATGCAACAAACCAATACCGTATATGATTATCATACAAATGCGTGATAGTTAACGACCCAAAAACTAGGCTACCGCATCCCCTGCCTAGCATGGGGGGGAAGTCAATAGCAAAGTCTTTGAATAATCAACTAGCACATGAAACAATACAATCTGTTAACTCTAAAAAACAAGTTCACTCTATCAAATCCAGTTCGAAGTGGCAAACACACGAGTCACTGAGTGCGCCAATGAACCAATAAGAAATTATAGAAATGAACCCATTTTTTAAAATTGACAGACATGCATTGATATTGCAATGATAAATGAAAAAATGGACACACACAAACAAACACATTCACACATTCACAGAAGCACGAACACCGGCAAAACCAGCAAAAAAACACGCGATAATAAAAAACATGCAAATCAACTTTAAAAGGACAATATGGTAAATCCTATCAGTGACAAATGCACAGTTTCCAAATTGAAATCGCATTTCTGACTAGCAGGCTCCTGCGAAACGGGTTCAGGAACGATACAGAAAATGAAAGAAGAGAATATAACGTATTACGGAGAGCGAGAGCGAGAGAGAGAAATAGGACGAGAGAGAGAGGACGAGAGAGAGAGGACGAACGCAAGAGAACGAACGAAAGAGAACGAACGAGAGAGAGAGAGGACGAACGCGAGAGAACGAACGAAAGAGAACGAACGAGAGAGAGAATGAACCTGAGAGAGAGGACGAGAGAGGGAGAGAACTAGAGAGAGAGAACGAGAGAGAGAGAGAGAGAGAGAGAGAGAGAGAGAGAGAGAGAGAGAGAGAGAGAGAGAGAGAGAGAGAGAGAGAGACGAACGAGAGAGAAGAAACGGGAGAGAGAGAGAATGTGAGAGAGAGAGAGATAACGAACGAGAGAGAGAGAACAAGAGAGAGAGAGAAAGAGAGAAAGGGAACGAGAGAGAGGGAACGAGAGGGGGAGAATGAGAGTGAGAGAACGAGCGAGAGAGAACGAAAGAGAGAGGGGGGGACGAGAGAATGAGAACGAGAAACAGAGAACGCGAGAGAGAGGGAACGAGAGAGAGAACGATAGAGAGAGAACGAGAGAGAGAGAGAGAGAGAGAGAGAGAGGCCGAAATTATTCATTTGTGGGCCGAAAAATTTTGCTCGCGCCGGAGAGCGAGAGAGAGAGAGAGAGGACTTAGCCTCTGCCCTCGTCCTCTTAGGTACTTAAGTAGCTGTTCGTGCCTCCTCTGCTCATTATTCATTTGTGGGCCGGAAAATTTCGCTCGTGAGAGAGAGCGAGAGGGAGAGAGAGAGAGGCTTAGCCTCTGCCCTCTGCCCTTAGCCTCTGCCCTCGTCCTCTTAGGTACTTAAGTAGCTGTTCGTGCCTCCTCTGCTCATTATTCATTTGTGGGCCGGAAAATTTCGCTCGCGCCGGCCGACTTCGGCGGCCGACGCTCGACGGCGCGGCCTTCGGCCGCGCGTGAGGGGACGGCAAGCGCACACAGCGCAAAGAACTTCACTACTGAGTTGACATACACACATGGCATCACACATAGCGGCCTAGAATGGCGGAAACAGATAGAGGGGAGCCCGCAACTACATGCGGTGTGCTCCGAGAGCGCGAAGAACGCCCGTCAGGGAGCGCCACAGCTCCCGGACCACAAGCGTGCTTGCGCCGATCGCCGCGGCTCCAGATCCAGCGCGCAAATGCCGCTTCAAGCTCCGGACAGCCTCGTCCAGCTGTCCCGCAGCAGCAGCGCCACCCTCCGCGGGCGCAGCCAGCACGGGCGCCAGCAGCACGGCGAGCTGGTCCGCCGCATCCAAGCAGGTCTCGCGCGGACGGTCGCGGAACGTCTCAGGAGGAACCACGGGGAGGGACGTGTGAGCAAGAACCTGGATTAGCAGCAGTGCGTGAAGACTCTCCGCCAGGCGGTGAAGCTGCCCGAGAGTCGCCTGGGGAACACGAGTCTGCGGAGGCTGGAGTGCCTCCGCCAGAAACTGGAGCGGCTCATCAGCTGCATACTGAGCCGCCGCCGCGCCACCACCCGCGGCCACAAACTCCACCCCCGCAACAGGCGGAACCGGCGGCAGATGCAGGCGGGAGCCGGGAGCCGGCGCCGCTACAGAAGGAGAAGGAGCGGACGGGGCAGGAACAAGAGGGGGAGGTGCAGCAGCCGGCGGAGGGACAACAGGAGGCACAATCGGACGAGGAGCCACATGCGCCGACGCAGCCCGCAGCGAACTGCTCTGGCTCTGCGCCGCCCTCTCCTCGCGCACGGCGCGCGACACCTCCCGCGTCACCTCCCGCTGAAGATCCGCCATCGTCACAGGCGGACGATACCTCCCGCCGCCGCCACGCCCGTGGGGACCCCACCAGCCCCCATTGCCACCCGGGTGAGCGGGCCACTGGGCCTGCTGCTGGTAGCGCCGGGGGGAGTTACGCCGGCGCCGCGACGTCTCGCGCTCCTGTTGGGTGCAAATGCACATTGCACGACATCCTGCCGTCTGTTTGTACGAGTATGCGTGTGCGAATGCATTTGTGTGTGAATGGTGTATTCGTGTGTTTGTTTGCTTTCGCATTTTTCGCTTGATGCATTTGCAGGTACTCGCGCAATGTGCGCTTCGGCACAACATTGTACGCGCTATGAACAGTGCAAGCAGAAAGGACGAGCTCGCAAAGGAACCCAAGATGGAAGCTTTGCAGTTCGGTTGAGTTGATTGCGCAGATTCAGTTCTATCCAACTCGAAATTGTACTGTTTTGTTTGGTTAACTATAGTGTAGCAGGGAAGGCACTATAGGGGTACAATTTAGGTGAAGGTTGGATGTTGTTTGTCTGTATCTGCATGCTACAAGGCCAGGGGAAACCAGCGGAACCAGCATTTGGCTGGTTGGGCAAAGACAAAACAGGTTCTGTTTTTAGAACCTGAACCTGGTTGTTGTTTTCCCAGGTTGGAAAAACAGAACCAGAGGTTGTTTACCAACCTACCACCTGCTATTTTGTCCAGCCAGGTTGGTTCTGTTGCTTGGAATTATTTGGGATCATCCCTGGTTGTTCCCAGGTTGATTCCCAAGGTCCTTGCTAGCTAGAACTATTTAATCCTTCTCTGTTTGTACCTGAATATAGTAAAATTGATTCAAGCGAATTCCTTCCTCGCTGGAATTTCGTTTCTGCGCTATTCGACGGCGGAATGCTACCCGAGTCAACGCTAGTATGCTAGCATTCCAACGCTAGGCAAACGCTGTCCGAGCCATAACTTAGTAATGGCAGAACTTTTCGCGAGGCAACTTGGCTCATTTTAAAGCTCCTGGAGCGAGCTTCGATATAGCGAATTCTCAGCTTAATCCGACCGACGGTCTGCACGGCACGCTGCGCGACGTTCAAGGTGCTCTTGCTGTTTTGACTAAGTCCTTCTTGATCCCTCTCTCTACAAACTCGGACCCGAGGATAGGGGCTGGTCTTGTACCAGGCACCCAGGGACCCTTGGAGGTGACCCCGAGGAGAGGTTTTAAGTTTGATTAAGTCCTAATAGCTTGAGTTTATTAGGCCCTTACACCAACAAGCTGGTATCAGAGCTGCGTTATAGTGATCCTCGTTATAGGTAGCTATGGCGGGCAACACCTCGGCGGGAGCTGGTGAATCTTCAGCCCAAGATCGTAGCGGCAGCCAAGATTCTGGTCTTTCAGCGCCAAGGGGAGCGCGAACAAACCAGGGCTCGCTTGTCAAGGAGGTGCTGAAGAATTTCACCGTCGAGAAGTTCAATGGTGAGGGCTATGATGATTGGGCCTGGAAAATGCAATTATATTTCCGTCAGATCGGTTTGCTGAAACTAATGATTGGGGAGGAGCCTAGACCGAGTGACCCCACGCTGCAGGAAGATTGGGACGAGCGCTCCTCGGCTGGCTACTATTTGATGTCGCAGAGTTTGGAGCTGAACCAGCGTCACCACGTCATGCACCTGCTGCCGGAGGTTGAATGCGGTCCGAAGGCGTGGACCGTGTTGAAGGAGCTGCACGCCCCGACCTCCGTTGTCGCAACGTTGATGCTGGAGAGGGAGCTGTCCGCGTTGCGCCTGAGCGAGGGAGAGCCGGTGCAACCAGTCCTGGACAAGATGCGCGACCTCTACGCGAAGTTGGCGACCGCGGGAATCACCTACCCGGAGCAGACCAAGTGCTTGAAGATGCTCTCGCTGCTGCCAGAATCGTGGCTTCAATTTACGAGCGGATTGAGCCTGCCGCAGAACCAGAGCTTGTGGACGCTCGAGTGGGTGCGGACGAAGATTCTGGAGGAGGACTTCCGTCGCCGCCAACTGAGGGGTGGAGACGACGGCAGCAGCGGCTACGGGATGCAAGGGAGCCGACGTGGCAGAGGACGTGGCTTCGGTGGTGCTGGACGCGGTGCAAAGAAAGACGACGACTCCAACGACCAACAAGGAGGTACCGGTTGGGGTCGCGGTGCGAAATCTGGACGTGGGGGCAAGTCGGGTGCTGGTGGCAAAATGAAAGGGAGTTGCTGGTATTGTGAGAAGGAAGGGCACCCCTGGTTTTTGTGCTATAAGAAACCCGATGGATGGACCCCCCAGAATCGTCACCAGGATGGCGGCGCGCGGAGGAACCAGAAAAACGGCGCCAACATGGTCGCTGATTCGTCCGACAACAACCCGAAGGGCAACGGCAGTGCGGAGAAGAAGAAGGAGCGCACCGCGGGCCAATTCTTCCATGTAGGAGACAAGGGGGAGCAAGGAGACGCCTCTGCCAAAGTTGGAGCAGAGCTGCACCCCCTAGACTATTGGGTGTTGGACACAGGCGCTGCTTGGACGATGACGCCGCGCAAGGACCTGCTGGACGAAGTACGAGCTGCACCGATCAATGAAGTGTGCTCCGCCTCTGGACACATGTTGAAGGTGGCTGGTGCGGGACGAGCTGCGTTTAAGGGAGCGGATGGCAAGCCGGTGGTGCTGCACGACGTTCTCTTCGTCCCCGACCTGAAGGCCAACCTTATCTCCCTCCGTAAGCTTGGCAAGGCTGGGGTGAACACCAACACGGATGGGGCACGCACTTATAAGGGGAAGCTGGGCAATCGGGTGCTTTGGGATCTGCACGAGAGCAAGGACGTGTACAGATCTATGTGGCAGCTGCCGGCCCTGGCGTGGCATGGTGGGGGGCAGGCTGGAGAGGGGTCTGCATCCCAGGGGGAGTGCAATGCCGTTGGAGGGGTTGGTGTGAAAGTGTCGGCCAGATCTGGGGAGACAGATTGGGCAACGGCACACCGGCGCTTAGGGCATGTGGCAATGCCTTTGCTGAAGCAGCTGGAGAAGGATGGAGCCGTTAAGGGTCTGAAGCTGAACGGACAGCCACCCGATGACAACTGTGAAATCTGTTTGCTTTCAAAGTTCACCCGTTTCCCTTTCCATAGTGTGGCTGGCAGGAGCAAGAAGCCTTTGGAGCTGGTCCACATGGACTTGGTGGGGCCGCTGCCGGTGCAAGGGCACAAGGGGGAGCGGTATTTTCTTACAATTGTGGATGACTGGAGCAGGCTGATGTGGGCGTATCCGCTGAAGCAGAAGGACCACGCCGCCTCCACGATACGGGACGATTGGCTGCCATTCGTGGAGAAGCAGGCGGAGTGTGTAGTGAAGCGGATTAGGACAGACCGGGGTGGTGAGTTCCTTGGAGCTGAAATGACGGCCTGGCTCAAGAAGCAGGGCATCCAGAGAGAGCTGACCACGGCTTATACCCCACAGTCCAATGGTGTAGCAGAACGGGCAAACCGGACCATTCTGGAGACAGCTAGGGCGCTGCTCATAGAATCTGGGCTGAGCAATTCTATGTGGCCTCATGCTGTCCGGCACGCCACTGTCGCTAGGAACAGGGTGCTCACCAAGGTTGGGGATGACTCGTGGGTGCCGTTGGAGAGGTGGCTTGGGAGGAAGCCGCCGGTGGACATGCTGAGGGTGTTCGGTTGCATGGCAGTCGCCCACGTCCCCAAGACCTACCGCAGTAAGTTGGGGGCGAGTGCAATCTGGTGTGTGCATTTG